AGTCTTTCAAAATAAAATATTCCTTAATAAGTGTTAAGCATATTTTTTTATCTATAATTTTAGTCTTGTACATTATATAAAACAGCAACACAAAACTAACATATGCGAAAATGATTTATTGTAAATATTATTCATACATTACCAAAACCACTTTTTTTTTAAGAAAAAACATTCACCTCATATTTTTCGTTTTGTATTTTTTATGCAGCTATTTTATTTTATTGTAGGTTATTTAAATTTTAGGTATTAGGTATGTGTAAGATTGTTTTATTTCTGAAAAATTATATGAAAAATTATTACTAATAAAAGTAAAATGTGACTACAAACAAGTATTTACTTTAAATGTACACTACATCCACGTGGGAAATATACAAATAATTTACTTATGAACAGGATTAGCATTTTTTGAGGCAGATATACCAATACCGAGAACAATTGCGAACACTGTAAATCCTTGAGCTAATATTCTGGTACGCATCATGTATTGTGACAATTTCCTTTTCCCTGCTTTAAAACTCCACAGACCAACAACTAAAGCAGTAGCTGTGGCCAAGCATCCTAAAATAAAATGCTTCGTTCTTGCTTTAATCATCAACATTTAGTAACAAATGTTTACCAATGGGAACAAATGGATTTTCCTTAAACTTTCTATTAAATTTTTCCAATACAGTTTCCTGCTTATGTATAGCTTCCAAGTCATACTGTAATTTTATAAAATCTAACTCCTCAAAATTTTCAACTGCATTGGTACTCATACTAGAAGAAACTTAGGTTACGTACACCAAAGAAAGTATTGTTTGAATTATTTATTACATTAGAATTAATAAAAAAGGATTATTTAGGTTTGCTTATAGTTTTTTACAATTTTTAAAACAGTGTCAAATTTATTTACATAAGTACTAGTAATAATTGTTTCTATTTTTCTGTAACAACTACTTTTAATATTTATCATAGATACGATATTTATTTATTTATTTATATTTTTCAGCGTGTCTAGATACCCGTTAACGTGTAATTGTACCTACTTGTAAATCATTTAGAGCCCAAAGAAATATTTGAAATTGTAGAATCACCTGTCAGTTGGAGAAACATTTTTATATGATTTTTATAAAGAATAGATTTGATTAAAGAAAATGCTTGGCGATTTTATAATGGTTCGTTCATCTCTGAATTATCTATGACCCCTGAAAAAAAAAATAACAGTGTCATTTTCACAGAATTTCACTATAAAGTGAGTGCTATAGGGCTTTCAAAAAGTCAATTTATTTCAAGATAGCACTCGCCTCCTTTGCATATTCGGAATTCACACGATTTTTATTCGATTGATTGCTTAGAATTGATTTTACGATTAATAAAGTAACAGTAAGCCATTATACCTAAAACTTCGACCTCTTACTAGAGTAAAGTTTTGTTTACATGGTGTTTATTCTTGTGTTTATCATAGATTGTGTTTATTTATTTATGTAGTGTTCATGGTTTATTCATTGATTCATTCTTTTTCTATAAATGTATACATATATATGTTTACTAGTTTTTACTAATTTTTAAATGAAGTACGAAATAAAATAATGTATACCCTTCTTTATGGTTTCTATAAGTATGCTACTCAGAAAGATGAATATTGTATTCTAATTTTAGGGTTGGATAATGCTGGAAAAACTGTAAGTAACTAAAATTATTTTCAAGCTGTATCTTTTTATTAATAATTCAGGTTGTTTATAAATCATTAGAATTAGGACTGAATTACTAAATAGTAGACGTGGTTACCGTACTAAAATATTTAAATTTTCGTGTATTTTAAAATTCGACGTCTAGAATAAATTAGATTATTTGTTTTTCAGACGTATTTGGAAGCTGCTAAAACAAAATTTACCAAAAACTATAAGCGCATGAACCCTGGAAAAATTACTACCACAGTTGGTTTAAATATAGGTAAAATTAGTGTAGCAGGAATAAGTTTAAATTTCTGGGATTTAGGAGGTCAAAGTGAATTACAATCCCTTTGGGATAAAGTATGCATTAACAATTTATATGTACTAGTTTAGAAGAAATAAATTTATTGTTTTTAGTATTATGCTGAATCACATGCTATTATTTATATTATTGATTCATCTGATAGAGATCGCATTGAAGAATCTAAAGAAACCTTTGGTATTTGTTTAAGAAACTGGATTGAAGTTTTTTATTTGTGTTGGATTGTTTTAGATAAAATGATTGCAAGTGAATCTTTACAAGGAGTTCCATTACTTGTATTAGCAAATAAGCAAGATATTGAAGATTGTATGGGAGTACGAGAAGTTAAACCTATTTTCAATAAGAATGCACATTTAATTGGTAAACGAGATTGCATGGTGATGCCAGTTTCGGCCCTAACAGGGTAATAATAGTGAACACATAATTCATGTGGATGTTTGTATTCCATTGTTTTTAGGGAAGGGGTAGATGAAGGAATTCATTGGCTTGTTGACTGTGTAAAAAGGAACAACTTTGTCAGACCTCCACGTAATAACGAAAATAATTAAAATTCAAATTGCATTTTTTATATGTAGGTACAGTACATCTTTTTGTAAATAAATATTAATAAAACATTCCTAATACTGTTATTTCTATAATATGCAAAGCTTAGTAATATGTACACTTTATCTACAAAAGTGTAAATGATAAGGAAACTGATATGTGACTGTTTGATGAGAGATCTTATCAGTACGTTTATTTAGTTGCTTTGAATATTTGCTGGTAAAGACATCAACTGAGTTATTAATAAACTCTTTAACTTGAACAATTTAAAAATTAATATTCTATTATGTTTCCTTATTATGAACCAGATTGGAGTGTTTTACCTCCGGAATTGAATAGACGGTAATTACTCGATAATGATAATTATCTTTTTAAATTGGTGGCGGTAAATGTTTGTGTTCATCGTTGTCTGTGTTGTAGTTTTTTGAAAATAAATTTTAAAATAATTATAGAGAAATAAAAGAAATTAATAGAAACCTTTTATTTATTTTTGAATTATAAGAACTAGTTTATGTATAATTACGAAAAATTATGTTCCAAATTTTAATGTTAAATAGTATACGTCACACATCGGCAACAGTCGGCCATAGTGATTTTGCTGTGGTTGTCAAAAAAGTGTAATGGTTTTAGAAAATCATATATTTGCAAAATATTCAAAGATTTTTTAATTATCTTAGTATTTTAAGTTTATTTATTTGGTAAGTTCTAAACGTTTGCAAAGAACACTTCACGTTTACTGATATCATTTTCTCAAAGTAATACACCTGTCAAAAAATCATATGTGGACAGGTGAATCAAGGTGTGAATAAATATTACTATAATTGATACATAATTAATATTATCAGTTTTGCGAATTTGTGGCTTGCTTTTTAGTTACCAAAACTGTTTTGAAGTTTTAACCTACTTGTATAGTGTTTTACCTTTGTAATCCACAATGAATGCTTCGGAACATGGGTAATCTGAATGTAGCAAACATTGTGTTGCATTGTTTTACTTATTAAATTACTGTTTTTAGATTTAATCCTGCGTTTAATATGGCTACTATTAAACAGGCTATCAATGAGGCTGTTGAAAGAGGTATGTGGTAATAATGTAAACTTTTTTAAGTAACATGATAAAATTATAGTTCGTATGCCTACCCCAATGCGTCTACGAGACTTAATCAGACAAATTAGGGCTGCAAGAACTGCTGCTGAAGAGAGGAGTGTGGTAAATAAAGAATGTGCATACATAAGATCAACATTTCGAGAAGAAGATTCAGTTTGGAGGTAGCTATACAGTTACCATTACTGTTTTGAATGTCGATTATAAATGTTACATGATTTCAGATGTCGAAACATAGCAAAGTTGTTATACATCCATATGTTAGGATACCCAGCACATTTTGGACAATTAGAATGTTTAAAATTAATTGCTAGTTCACGATTTACTGATAAAAGAATAGGATATTTAGGTGCAATGTTATTGTTAGATGAAAGACAGGACGTCCATTTACTGATAACAAATTGTTTAAAAAAGTAAGTAGTTAAAAATTCTATTTTATTTTATTGTAAGTGTATTTGAAATAGGCAACTATACTTGCTTATTATTATACCTCCTTTTTAAATATAAAATAGTGAGCTACTTGAGAAATATTTTAGATTCTGTTTATAAGAGTATTATTTTTTCCAACATTATTTTATAAATAAGTCATTTAAAAGCAGTCTAAGGCTCTATGTAACATTATTCGTTTGAAATGATTATTATTTAAACTAAAACTGAGAAATTCTTTGTAGGTATAGGTAACTATTTTTCTTTTGTAGGTTTATTAAAATTCCTTTACAGAAACTTAAAAAGCTGAAATATTTATTCATTTTTATTTATTTCCAAATTATATGGGAAAATCCCATTTACAAATATGTATATAACAAATTAAATAAACTACAGGTGATTAAACAAATAGTAAATTCTCACAGAAAAGTCACAAGTGTAGTAGATAACAATCATTTTACACCCTCGCATATAGTTAATATCTATCATTAAGAGAATTAAAAGGTTTTGAAAATATGTTTTTGGCTTTTCGCTTAAATGATGATATTGAGTTATCAAATCAGCCAAATGTATTGGTAATTATATTTCTATCATAATGAAGTATGTGTTATAGTAAAAGTGACAATGAAAAAACAAAATGTGAAATCATTTTCAATCCGTAGTATGAATCCAAATTAATAGTGCTGCTATATGTGTCTATTTATCCAGTTTAGTTTATTTTAATTTTTCATGTTTGAATGAAAATTTGTAAAAACTAATTTTTAGTGATTTGAATTCAACCACGCAGTTTGTGGTGGGTTTGGCCTTATGCACCTTGGGGGCAATAGCCTCACCAGAAATGGCTCGAGATTTAGCATCGGAAATAGAGAGGCTTATGAAGTCTCCTAATGCATACATTCGCAAAAAAGCAGCATTATGTGCATTTCGTATTATTAAACGAGTGCCTGAATTGATGGAGATTTTCTTACCTGCAACAAGAAGTTTGTTGTCAGAGAAAAATCATGGTAATTGAACAAATTTTCTAATAATTATCAGCAAAAATAACATTTCTTTAAAATCTTTTTAGGAGTCTTAATAACAGGGGTCACACTTATTACAGAGATGTGTGAAGTTAGTCCGGACACTTTAAATCACTTTAAAAAGGTTAGTTACGTGTTACATGTTGCTAAATTCGATTATATTTGTATTTACTGTTATCAGTGATTTATTTGTGCATATTTTTATTCGTTGTAGTAAAATTTTTTTGCATATTAATTCATATATGGTTTAAGATGAGCAGTTTCTACATAAGTTCAGAGACTCGAATAGATAGAAAACTAACATTTTTAAAATAGTTTTCTTTTTTTAGGTTGTGCCTAATTTAGTGCGAATTCTTAAAAATCTCATTTTAGCTGGGTATTCTCCAGAACACGATGTTTCTGGTGTGTCAGACCCTTTTCTGCAAGTAAATAAACTATTGCAAGGGTGAATTGTATATTTGTGTATTTATTTACTTTATTGTAGGTAAAAATTTTGAAGTTATTGCGAGTTCTTGGTAAAAACGATCCAGAAGCTTCTGAGGCAATGAATGATATTTTAGCGCAAGTTGCCACTAATACCGAAACAAGTAAAAACGTTGGAAATGCTATATTGTATGAAACAGTTTTATCTATAATGGATATTAAATCAGAAAGTGGTCTAAGGGTAAGTTTGTACTTTTTTCTTGTAGCCATGGAAATAGAATATTAGAAAATTGAAGAATTAATACTTTCGATTTTCTTTTTGAATGTATTAGGGAAGTTAACAGAAAAGGCTTCTCGTTTTCTGAGTATCGGGAAAAATGGGGCGATAGTGTTTTTTAAACAATCAACGCCGAATAGTATTTTTTTGGTTTTCTCGATATTCTGAGAACTTTGGTTTTAATTTTTCCCCGTCCATGGTCCCCTAGGAAATCAAGCACGTCTAAGGACTATTTAAAAAAAAGCGATACATTGCAGGCCATTCTTTTTAGTACTGCAAATACTGCTTAGTAAGCGTAGCGATTACGAAACTTTTGGTAGCATTTATTTATGATTGTTATATGATCAATAGGCAAGACGGCGGTTCTCCGTATATATACTCGCGGTTCCCTAGGGGTCCGCGAACCACAGGTTAACAGATACTGCTATACGAGATAGAAAATAGTGATACATAGATGGTTTGCGTGCATTGAAAATGCTTACAGAATGAGACATGGTATGTTGAAGTTATTCCATAAGCAAAAAAAAAACATTTGAAATGATAATTTTTCATAATTTATAACTTTCGAAATATTTGTCAAATTTGTCCCCAACTTTATAAAATTATGAGCGTTGAAGTATGTCAAAGAGGGGCACAGTCGGTTCAGTAGTTTTTGCCAAATCGTATTTTTTATCCTGAACTAGCTGTCCCTGCAGACTTCGTACTGCCCCAATCGATATATAAAAGACCTAAATTTTTGTATAAAATAAACTTAGTTGACAAATGTCAAATATTATGGTTGCGTTCAGAAATTTAATTTGACAGAACTTAAGATTTATCAATCTACATAAAAATAATCTGAAAGATAGTTAACAACATTCATATTTATTCACCTTTTAAACCTTCCCTGGACTTCCACAAATAATTCAAGACCAAGATTAGCCAAATCGGTCCAGCCGTTATCGAGTTTTAGCGTGACTAACGAACAGCAATTGATTTTTATATATATAGATTATTTAAAAATGACAATTTTTTGGCTAGGCAACGATTAAAACATTCTTGTGGGTTTCATTCTCTTCGTAAAGACTGATTCGAGGATGTCATGTATTACTACTGACAGCGCACAACTACATTAATTAATAGCCTCCTCGACGGTATACGCGTATACGGCACAGTTTTTTTGGCTGTTATAAATGAAAAGTGAAGACAAGAAACTAGTAACTAAAAGCAAGAATAAGTTAGAGAGCTAAATCGTTTATTTCTCAACTGATCTATTGAGCCATAAAGAAACGTGAAACACAATGTAATCTAATCATACTTGCTAATAAAAAACGAAAAGAGGTAAGCTGCTGAAAGTTGGCTATAAGAAAATAGTAATCGACGGCATCACGGAACATAAAAAGGGTGTAGGACTGACTGCAGGCGCCATTTCGAAAAGCAGATACAAAAATTCCAGGTATAAGCATCCCAGTGGAACTTTGTTTTCACCAGCCAGATACATTTTGCAACTAATAAGACACTAATCGTCAGTAAAGAAAATAAGGGTTTATAGGATACTGTTATTCAACACAATTTTTAACGCACAAAATCAACGTAAAACACCCCACCTCATTTAAAAATACCTGTTGATAGTAGTCATATAATTTCTAATTTATTGTCACGCAATTAAGCATCTTTCGCATTTATGATTTATTTTACTAATTACTTTTTGATTAACACCCCTATTATTGATTACTTACTCGTTCACTAATATATCGCACACTATCGCTTTTTTGCTCTTCTTAATTCGTTTTCTATCGTCTGGTAATTAGAACTGACTGACTCTTTCAACCTCGCGGCAACTATTTCTAGGGGTTGGATTTGTTCTAGAAACATTCCAGAGTGTGGTATCTAGAGACTATCGAGATCTAGATAACCTATCATAGGCTTCTTGTCGTATAGTGGGTTTCCCATACGTGACACTGCCCCCCCCCCTTCTAAAACAGTTCCGACCAGTAACGTCTCCTTGCAGGGACCAATACGGTCAAGATGGACGAGTTTAATTTTGGCCCGAGAATTTTCTGAATTCGACGGATAACGTCGTTGATGCGTCGAATAAAGGTGTGTGGACCATTCAAAACTTGTAGTTTCGGGCAACGTCTCTTCCGTCTTGAGTCAGGACGCTTGATGGTTTGTACATTCATACTTTGTCGTCATCATCAAAACCAGCAGAGTTCGCTTGTCTGTCGTATCTGGTTTTCACGCGTTCTCTTTCGAATCGCAGTTTCGTACGTACAGCATTAGGGATGGCTTTCAATCGTTCTTGTAGTTTTCGCACAGCGCACGTATTCGATTGTAGACATTGGAGAGTTGTCTCATGGATAAGAGGAATAGAGGTAGGTTTGTGTCGCTTCCAGCCAGTTTGGTGATCGTTGACGCAACTTCTTACGTTGTTCTCCAGAGTAGCGTTAAAACGTTCAACCATTCCTCCAGAACGGTGGATGTAAGGGCGTAGTCCTCGTTTTTGTGATGCCTATTAGTTTAGTGACCTTTTTTGAATAAAGCCGACTCCAAGTTTTTCGGCTTGTTTCTGGTTCCATCCGGATTCTCCATCTATTGGGCCAAATATTTTCGTCCTTTCTTTGATCTTCTATTTATTTGTTATTTTTGTAGGTTCCTTTAACATTCGGGACATTACTATGTCCTACTGTGCTGATATTTAAGTCTATTCGATGTTCTCGGCTAATCCGATGATGACATCATCCACTCCAACGATGACATCATCTACTATATACCAATACCCAATTATATATGATCGCATTTCCAATTGTAATTTCTACGCCGAAGTTGAAGTCTCTCCGGTAGTTGTAGTCAAGTATGTAGGATGAATTTGCAATTCCGATACTACATCAGGTCGAACAATACTGTTGGATGTCCTGTATTGATAACCATAATCTTGTTCAGAAAATTCTGTGGGACTATTCAATAACGTTAGAATCATTTCGTTTTGAGAGCTTTCGAATGAAATTCTTAGATGACGTCAGATTCGCTCTTCCCATTCCAATGATATGTTTTCTTGGGGTAATTCACGATAGATAGAAACATCTTCAATGACGTCAGATTCTTTCTTTTCTTTTCGAGATTTTTCCAACGATATATAGTTTGTTGGGGTTATTCACAATCAGTAGAAACTTCTAGAAAATTTTCTGATGGTACGCTCTAGATTCCTCCTTCAATCCGCTTCAGTCCTACATCTGACACCAAATGTCGCACTACTAGCTAATTTATTTAACTAAATGTTCTTTAATTAACACCACTATTATTATTATTATTAATTAATT